CCGGAAAAAAGAAAAAATATATGAATATATGAATATGTGTGTGTGTGTGTGTGTGTGTGTGTGTGTGTGTGTGTGTGTGGTTCAACGAACTAACCAGGTTTCTTGAACTCATTTGGAACAATACAGCGGATGAAGTGGGGGTGAGTAGCATTGAGCGTTTTCATCAAGTTGCTTAACTGATCCTGTAAAGAGAACGATTTTCTTCGATCATGATGCCTGCTATATGATATATTAATTGGTATCCTTTATCATTTTGGAAGGGAAATACTTCTACGAGTATATGAGAATAAATGCCTTCATTATTTTACCTTGTATCCAGAAGATACTGTCTTGAAGCCAGTTTGCTGCTTGCCACCTTTACCTGTAACACAAATAAAAAGTTGTTTGAAAAAAACAAACAAACAAACAAACAAACAAAACATAAATTCATATCCATCGAGAAAATAGAGATGTATCATTTTATGTAAGATATATCGGATAGAAAGGATGCTTACCACCTTTTCCTCCAGCATCACCAGACTGGCCCGGATGGTCAGAAAAGAGTTCAACCGTCAACGCGTTGGAGGCCTTCTTAAGCTGGTCGACGACGGTGTCGTTGAGAGGATCCTTGTTCTTCTCAAGCCAGCCAGTCAGGTTATAGGACACAACGCCAGCGTAGTGAACAATGGCAAAGTGGTTGTCAGGCTGGCCGGCTTTTGGGGGTTTTGGCTTGATGAAGCAGCGAGACTTTCCGAGATGGTTATTGTTGAGCTTCTCTTCGAAAGTCTTATCGGTGGCTTTCGGGAACATGGACTCTTCTTCAAGGATGGAGAGAATACCCATTTTCTGGAGGAAATAAAAGAGAGGCGTAATTGTTAACGGAAACCTGACTTATGGAAAGAAAGTAAGTAAAGTAAGTAAGTAAAAGTAAGTAAAAAAATTGCTACTGAAAGAATAACAGTTGCATTCTCGAAATGTTCAGCGCAAGTTTGAAAATATATGTCGAAGTTCACGAACCATCAAACAATGCCCATTTCTATATATTCCAAGAAAGGAGAAAGGAAGATTATTTTTTAAAACGGATATTTGGTTGCGTGAGAATGACTTAACAATCACTTTACCTTCTCGAAGAGTTCAATACAAGCCTGGAGATCCATGCCGAAGTCGACGAACTGCCAAACAATACCCTCCTTTGCATATTCCTCCTGTTCTAATACGAACATGTGATGGTTGAAGAACTGCTGCAGCTTCTCGTTACAGAAGTTGATACAGATCTGCTCGAAGCCATTGAACTAGGGGGAGGGGGAGATAATAGGATTTTTTGTATAGTCTCTGTTATAAAATATATAAAGGACATCAAATTATCAAGGGGACATATAATACCATATATTATATTCATTTTGCTAACAAAACGATGTAAAAAAAATATGGAATTTACGTCGAAGATTTCGAAGCCGGCAATATCGAGCACACCGATGAAGTTTATTTTAGATAATACCCTCCTTTGCATATTCCTCCTGTTCTAATACGAACATGTGATGGTTGAAGAACTGCTGCAGCTTCTCGTTACAGAAGTTGATACAGATCTGCTCGAAGCCATTGAACTAGGGGGAGGGGGAGATAATAGGATTTTTTGTATAGTCTCTGTTATAAATATATAAAGGACATCAAATTATCAAGACATATAATCCATATATATATATTCATTTTGCTAACAAAAAGAGTAAAAAATATGGAATTTACGTCGAAGATTTCGAAGCCGGCAATATCGAGCACACCGATGAACATAGCACGAGTCTGGCCAGTCTCGAGTGTCAGGTTACACTTCTTGACGAGCCACGAGAACAAACGTGAAAACAGACCTTTAGCCATGGCACCGATGTTGTAGTTTACTTGGTCGACATTCATACCCTTGGTGACGAACTCGGCACCGACCTTGATCTTGGGCTTGCAAAAGTTCCTATAGAGTTCCTCGGCGTCAACACCAAGCAACTTAGCAACGACTTCTCCAGCCTTTAGAGAGGAAAGATATGTTAAATACATAGGAAGAAAAATGTGTCTTTATATGGTATTTTGATTTTAATTACACTGTAATTCGTATTCTTACGGGAAATCATACCTCAGTGCCATCAGCCTCGGCCTGCTCTTCACGACCCCTCTGCTTGAATTTCATGTTGCCATGGTGCATCACACTAGCAGTGATCTTGTAGCAGTCATCTCTTTCTTCGTTGGAGAAGTTCAGGATTTCGAAAGCTTCCTTTATGTGTATGAAATGAAAGCCTGTTATGTTTCACTGGGATTTAGAAATCTGTGAATTTGTTATTAATCTCTTTTAAAAGTATAAAGATGCCAGTGATGGAAGAAGTTGCACATGTATTGTGGGTATATTTATTAATTTCAATGCTTTACAAGTTACAATATGCGTATATCTATTGTCAACTCACGTGAGTGAACTGCATGTCCTCTTTGTCATCGATGGATGGAACGGTGACCTTACCCTGAGACTCGTAGTGATAATCGTAAATGTCATCCGACAACAGACATATCTCTGGGGAAAAGAAATAGAATTGTAATTAGAAATCATCTTGTATTTATTTATCGACAAAAATGACAAAAGACAATAAATCAAAAACTTACTCTTGACGTAGTCGATCTGATCGCACATGAGCTGGTAGAAGATATGGTAACCACGCTCGGCGGGGGACTGGGAGATGACACGAGCCTTCTCCAGCAGGTAGACCTCAATGTCAGCGCCGGAAAGCTTGCCGTTGGGAGCGAAGTGGACGCGGATGAATTTTCCCTGTGTTAAATAAGAACGTTGAATGCACAGAAATGCAAAACCACTGTTCAGTCATTCTACACCAACACCATATAACGTAAGTTGAGAAGGCTAAAGCTTTTACTCACGAAACGGGAGGAATTGTCATTACGAGTTGTCTTGGCATTGCCGTAAGCCTCAAGGATGGGGTTGGTTTGGATAATTTGATCTTCAAGATTCTGCAAGAAAGAAGGCCAAGATGGTTTTCACATCATGGACGAGGATGTTATGGACAGAAATACAAGGCGAAACATATAAATAAAACTGTTTCGTGGCGGTATATTAACATTATGGATATATCTTACCTGTTTCTTCTCGCCATCTTTCTTCTCGGAGGCACCGACATTTGCGAAGTAAGACAACACCTTCTTCGTGTTTTCAGTCTTGCCAGCACCGGACTCACCCCTGTTGGCAGATTTAAAACTCGTATAAAGACTCAAATAATTTTGTGTACATTAGCTTCTAAGCTGTATATATATATATATATATATATATATATATATATATATATATATATATATATATATATATATATATATATATATATATATATATATATATATATATATATATATATATATATATATATATATATATATATATATATATATATATATATATATATATATATATATATATATATATATATATATATATATATATATATATATATATATATATATATATATATATATATATATATATATATATATATATATATATATATATATATATATATATATATATATATATATATATATATATATATATATATATATATATATATATATATATATATATATATATATATATATATATATATATATATATATATATATATATATATATATATATATATATATATATATATATATATATATATATATATATATATATATATATATATATATATATATATATATATATATATATATATATATATATATATATATATATATATATATATATATATATATATATATATATATATATATATATATATATATATATATATATATATATATATATATATATATATATATATATATATATATATATATATATATATATATATATATATATATATATATATATATATATATATATATATATATATATATATATATATATATATATATATATATATATATATATATATATATATATATATATATATATATATATATATATATATATATATATATATATATATATATATATATATATATATATATATATATATATATATATATATATATATATATATATATATATATATATATATATATATATATATATATATATATATATATATATATATATATATATATATATATATATATATATATATATATATATATATATATATATATATATATATATATATATATATATATATATATATATATATATATATATATATATATATATATATATATATATATATATATATATATATATATATATATATATATATATATATATATATATATATATATATATATATATATATATATATATATATATATATATATATATATATATATATATATATATATATATATATATATATATATATATATATATATATATATATATATATATATATATATATATATATATATATATATATATATATATATATATATATATATATATATATATATATATATATATATATATATATATATATATATATATATATATATATATATATATATATATATATATATATATATATATATATATATATATATATATATATATATATATATATATATATATATATATATATATATATATATATATATATATATATATATATATATATATATATATATATATATATATATATATATATATATATATATATATATATATATATATATATATATATATATATATATATATATATATATATATATATATATATATATATATATATATATATATATATATATATATATATATATATATATATATATATATATATATATATATATATATATATATATATATATATATATATATATATATATATATATATATATATATATATATATATATATATATATATATATATATATATATATATATATATATATATATATATATATATATATATATATATATATATATATATATATATATATATATATATATATATATATATATATATATATATATATATATATATATATATATATATATATATATATATATATATATATATATATATATATATATATATATATATATATATATATATATATATATATATATATATATATATATATATATATATATATATATATATATATATATATATATATATATATATATATATATATATATATATATATATATATATATATATATATATATATATATATATATATATATATATATATATATATATATATATATATATATATATATATATATATATATATATATATATATATATATATATATATATATATATATATATATATATATATATATATATATATATATATATATATATATATATATATATATATATATATATATATATATATATATATATATATATATATATATATATATATATATATATATATATATATATATATATATATATATATATATATATATATATATATATATATATATATATATATATATATATATATAGCAAAAATTAATCCTGTTTTTAGAGGTTGGGCCTGCATATTGCCATGCTTTGCTAATCATGAAGAGTCTGCTCTGTTTGATATTTACTTACCTTGCATCATATTCGCGTAAGCACCATCGCAGATTGCGAAGAGATGAGGAGGAACCTCATTACGTCTCTTCCCTTGGTAAATCTTAACAGTACGGTTGGTGTAGATGGGGTAACGCTTGTAAGGGTTGATGACGATACAGAAGAGACCAGAGTAGGTGTAGATAAGCTGGGCCTGGTAACGGGACTTGAGGACGTAGAAGACGGAGGGATCGTTCAAGAAGGTCAAGTTGGACACATCCTCACACTTCTCGTACTTGGGAGGGTTGATCTGTCCGACCTGCTCCTTCTTGAAGTCCTTTGTCTCTCCAGTGGGAAGCTTAACTGTGACATGTTTATCACCCTTGGCTCCCTGAAGCTCACACTCGACGAAACCCTCATTGGGGTCAGGACACCAGTAGGACTTCTTAGGATCGTAGGGTTTCGACTGATCCTTCATCCTCTGCTCCCGAGAGATGAAGAGGTATTCAGAGGGGTCGGGATCGGGACCCGTGCTCTTTTTGACGTGGCCAGGCATGCTGGTGGTGCGGGCTTAGCAATAACGAAGTCAAACGCACGAGTACGGTAGTACGGCTCTGCTATTTTCCTGAAAAAAGTGTGTAAATATACATACATAGCCATACATTATATACGCACATAAACATTTGTATACCTACTTACCTACACTCACTATATATGTCTGTGTGTGTGTGTGTGTGTATGTGTTTAATGTAAACTTGAGTATACATATATATGTATATGAATATATGTATATGCATATATTTAAATATGTATGTATACACACATACACACACACACATATATTCATATATATACATTGATATAGCTACACATATACTTATGTATATATGTATATGTATGTATATAAATACATATATGTATATATTATATATATATAAACACAGTATATATATGTATATAAATGTATATATTATGTGAATATATATATATTTATCTATCTACACACACACACAAGGATCTGTTTATATATACAGTATGCACACACACACAAGGATCTGTTTATATATACAGTATGCACACACACGTGTATATACACATTTTATATATATATGTATATATATATATTTACATATGTGTATATATGAATACATGTATATATGTATATATATGTATATATGTGGACACATATATGTGTGTGTGCGTGTGCATTTGTGTGCGTGTATTCGAATATACATGTATACAGGTATATTTATATACATACAGTACATACATATATATGTATATATATACATATACATACAAACATATATGTATACATATACATACATATGTATATATGTATATACGCACTGAGGTAGACTTTTGAACTACGTGTTAATAGCAATGAGGATTAAAGGCTGCACGTAACCCATCTATTTTTTTCGTGAGCACCTTTTTTTAATCTGAATATGCAGGATTAATTTTGATTAGAGTCTAGCCAAGTCAAGGCTTGGTTGATACTCCCCTTCTTCTGACACAGAATTCTATTCCTTGACGTTTTTTCTTTGATGCACAAGCATTTTTCGCTTAGCAAGAATGTGTGTGTGTGTGTGTGTGTGTGTGTGTGTGTGTGTGTGTGTTAACTTGCTGCATAGCTTCATGTATGTGCACGTACACCATAGATAACCGTATATGTATACAACAGTGTGAGTTTATTTTCTTCGGAAAGGTGAGACCGCATATATTCACTATAAACCGTCATTCATAATCCTCTTCTATCACCACCCCACCACGAGTAAGTTGCTTTCTGAGTGAGCCACTGCGCTAAAGTATTCACCTAGCACGACGCTTTTCTAAAACGGTACTCTATATATAGAAAACGGGTGCACCGCTTTTAATTTTGTTTTCGACTTACTTAGCACCGCCACAAGCACGCCACCGTCCCGCAGCCCACTGGTGGGTGGGATCAGATCTTCCTTCTTATATAGTGTACTGCTAAAGCTTGTACAGAAATAGATTAGATTTGGGAAATCCTCCTGAATGTATATATACTCTGAACAGATAGAGGTGAACTCTGCTTGCACAAGCATCTCTTGGGGAGGGATGCTGCAAGTCTTATACAGTAGCCGAACGAGATGAAAAGAAGATTAGTTGATATGCAGTGAGGTGTGCCTCAGTCAAGTAGTGGGGCTAAACAATGGACGGTTTAAATATGCAAATATTATTAAGTATGTTATACTTATGTAATTAATAAGGAAATTGATATGCCATACAGCTGTCGATGAGGCATCTAAATTGTTTCGCCAGAAATTTACACGAGCATGAAGTGAAAGCGGTACCGGAACGAAGATTTAAGAATCCATTTTGGAATGTAGAAGATAATATCGGTAAAAAAAAATGTTTTACATTTGCCATAGAGATAACAATCAACGCCATATGGCACTAGACTGTGGTACGTATCGGTTGAATTACAAATGATAACTGATAATGGGTGTGAAAGAGGGACTATTGTGACATCTGTTACACAACACAAAGTGCAGTAATCATGTGTTTGGCGTGTATAAATGCATTTAGATACGTGTGTTTAGATTTATGAACATATATGTGTGTATGTGTGTGTTGTGGTTGTGTGTGTATGTGCTTGAAAGTATTCACCTAGCACGACGCTTTTCTAAAACGGTACTCTATATATAGAAAACGGGTGCACCGCTTTTAATTTTGTTTTCGACTTACTTAGCACCGCCACAAGCACGCCACCGTCCCGCAGCCCACTGGTGGGTGGGATCAGATCTTCCTTCTTATATAGTGTACTGCTAAAGCTTGTACAGAAATAGATTAGATTTGGGAAATCCTCCTGAATGTATATATACTCTGAACAGATAGAGGTGAACTCTGCTTGCACAAGCATCTCTTGGGGAGGGATGCTGCAAGTCTTATACAGTAGCCGAACGAGATGAAAAGAAGATTAGTTGATATGCAGTGAGGTGTGCCTCAGTCAAGTAGTGGGGCTAAACAATGGACGGTTTAAATATGCAAATATTATTAAGTATGTTATACTTATGTAATTAATAAGGAAATTGATATGCCATACAGCTGTCGATGAGGCATCTAAATTGTTTCGCCAGAAATTTACACGAGCATGAAGTGAAAGCGGTACCGGAACGAAGATTTAAGAATCCATTTTGGAATGTAGAAGATAATATCGGTAAAAAAAAAATGTTTTACATTTGCCATAGAGATAACAATCAACGCCATATGGCACTAGACTGTGGTACGTATCGGTTGAATTACAAATGATAACTGATAATGGGTGTGAAAGAGGGACTATTGTGACATCTGTTACACAACACAAAGTGCAGTAATCATGTGTTTGGCGTGTATAAATGCATTTAGATACGTGTGTTTAGATTTATGAACATATATGTGTGTATGTGTGTGTGTGTGTTTGTGTGTGTATGTGCTTGTGTGTGTGTGTGCGCGTTTGTGTGTGTGTATGTGTGTATGTGTTTGTGTGTATGTGTGTATGTGTTTGTGAGTGTGTATGTGCTTTTGTGTGTATGTGTTTGTGTGTATGTGTGTGTGTGTGTGTGTGTGTGTGTGTGTGTGTGTGTGTGTGTGTGTGTGTGTGTGAAGAGCAAGAAACACAAATATGAAGAATCCTTTTTCGCTATATTTCCTCTAAAGGATTTAATGAACAAAATACAAATAGATGTGCTATACATATGTGCTGTAGGTGAGAGGTTATACTGGCGTAAAGGCGTGCAACCGTATATATATGTATGTGTGCGTGTGTGAATGTAATATTGCATACAAAAATATGTGCATATACATGTAAGTACACCCGGAAAACATAATCATCGGCTCCCCTGGACTAGCTACGGGCCGATCTCGTCTGCACGATGCGTCACGTCAACTGGGAATCAGGCACACACTGATTATGAGCTTTTTCAGAACTAGATATAAAGAGTGGTCAGGCAGTAGCTTGAAGTGTGTGTGTATGTGTGTGTGTGTGTGTGTGTGTGTGTGTGTGTGTGTGTGTGTGTGTGTGTGTGTGTGTGTGTGTGAAGCGCCGTTCACAGATGAAGGTACTGGTGTACACAGGCAAATTGTTGGTTTCTTGATACTTTACCTGTAATTTTGACAATTTTGATGTCTTTCACTCGTGGTCAGCAACATACCAAGTAGCAGCGTCATACTCGTATTAAGCATAATATTTATGAATTAATTGTTTTCAATTTGACGTGTTTGACTGGTCATAGGTAAAACGGTCTTGGTAAAATGTTCTCTCTCTCTCTCGCTATGATATCTGTGGATTGATGTCGATTAATCCTATGAATTATTGTTTGGAATCGATATATTAACCAAGGTATACAACAATTGATAAGCTGATTTATAAATGAAATGTACAATTCTAACTGGCACTGCCCGAGGTGCGTGGAATGCATTTTTCTAGTGAAACATTAATAGTATCTTCTATTTTGTGAATGGAGTGCTTATATTTATAGCAAAGTCTGCGATTGGCTCATGATATTTCACAATTACTTTCCCCGATGGCTAATATCAACCATTAGGAATTTATATAAAATATAGAACCATTGCAACGCTTTGTCCAATGTCAATACCAATACTTTTCCTTAGAAAAGAGCAGTTGAAATTGAGTAACTGGTATTTTCAGCACAATCATGATTGCCAAACATCAATAACAATATTTGATTTCAAACATTAATAGTATCTTCTATTTTGTGAATGGAGTGCTTATATTTATAGCAAAGCCTGCGATTGGCTCATGCTATTTCACAATTACTTTCCCCGATGACTAATATCAACCATTATAAATATACCATATAAAATATAGAACCAATGCAACGCTTTGTCCAATGTCAATACCAATACTTTTCCTTAGAAAAGAGCAGTTGAAATTGAGGAACTGGTATCTTCAGCACAATCATGATTGCCAAATATCAATAACAATATTTGATTTCAAACATTAATAGTATCTTCTATTTTGTGAATGGAGTGCTTATATTTATAGCAAAGCCTGCGATTGGCTCATGATATTTCACAATTACTTTCCCCGATGGCTAATATCAACCATTAGGAATTTATATAAAATATAGAACCAATGCAACGCTTTGTCCAATGTCAATACCAATACTTTTCCTTAGAAAAGAGCAGTTGAAATTGAGTAACTGGTATTTTCAGCACAATCATGATTGCCAAACATCAATAACAATATTTGATTTCAAACATTAATAGTATCTTCTATTTTGTGAATGGAGTGCTTATATTTATAGCAAAGTCTGCGATTGGCTCATGATATTTCACAATTACTTTCCCCGATGGCTAATATCAACCATTAGGAATTTATATAAAATATAGAACCATTGCAACGCTTTGTCCAATGTCAATACCAATACTTTTCCTTAGAAAAGAGCAGTTGAAATTGAGTAACTGGTATTTTCAGCACAATCATGATTGCCAAATATCAATAACAATATTTGATTTCAAACATTAATAGTATCTTCTATTTTGTGAATGGAGTGCTTATATTTATAGCAAAGTCTGCGATTGGCTCATGCTATTTCACAATTACTTTCCCCGATGACTAATATCAACCATTAGGAATTTATATAAAATATAGAACCATTGCAACGCTTTGTCCAATGTCAATACCAATACTTTTCCTTAGAAAAGAGCAGTTGAAATTGAGGAACTGGTATCTTCAGCACAATCATGATTGCCAAATATCAATAACAATATTTGATTTCAAACATTAATAGTATCTTCTATTTTGTGAATGGAGTGCTTATATTTATAGCAAAGTCTGCGATTGGCTCATGATATTTCACAATTACTTTCCCCGATGGCTAATATCAACCATTAGGAATTTATATAAAATATAGAACCATTGCAACGCTTTGTCCAATGTCAATACCAATACTTTTCCTTAGAAAAGAGCAGTTGAAATTGAGGAACTGGTATCTTCAGCACAATCATGATTGCCAAATATCAATAACAATATTTGATTTCAAATCAGTCTGACAAATTATGAGTTTGTGTGGAGATTTGTAAGAGTTTCCGCTGAAATTATAATTGAAAAACATTATTTTGAGTAGGCGAGATATTATATCATTTTGTCTGTAAATGGAATTCGTGTCTTTCTCGCCTGATTCACTGACTTCGGCGAGGCTTCCACGGGCAATTTAGGTATGATAAATTTCCAATTAACGAATCGTTTACGTTGACTTGTAGGCGATCCGAAATCTACATTGAAGCCACAATTTTTGAAGCTTTGCTGAGGGGAAAATTAGATTAGAAATTCCCGACCGGTTGTCAATGATACCGTTAAGTTAATGCATTCCAATTTGAGAAATAAAAGCATGTGAACAATGCATCGTTGCGGTGACTTTCTATTTTGTATATCCTTGTGCTGTACTGTAACTGCATACACAGTCAATTCAATTATACATTTGCCTTCTAGGTTTTAACTCCCGAAATGAGATATCTCAAATATACATTGACCTCACTCTGTCTCTCTCTTACACACAAACACACGCACACGCACACCCATCCACACACACACAGAAAGAGATGGTCTTTGCGCGCGCGATCATCTCCATCTCTCGCTCTTTCACACTGACCTCTCATTGAACTAAGTAATGTCCATTCTCCCTCTATCTCCTCAGTTATCACAGGTTAACCTCTCTCTCACTCCATCTCCCCCTCTCACAGATGTATCCTCTTTGTCTATTTGTCTGCTTCTCTCTCTCTTTTTTCTTTTACTCTTTCTCTCGCAGACACATTTCTATTATCGTCTAAAGATAACCTTCACGATCTGTATATGGCTTCCTTATAAAGCAACGCATAACAGCCTATACGCTATCTCAGATTATTATTTTTTTACTGTTTTCGGTACTTAAAAGAAGATGCGACCTCGGACATATAAAAGTTTACCTTTGATGCAGCATTTGGTAAAACACGAATAGGTGAAGCCAGTAT